AGTGACTTTTTGAATTTCCCGCGCAGTTACTCCAAATACAACAGTGCTGCCGTCAGCTGTAATATACCGGTGCGCAACTTTCTAATTTTGAGAAAAATACGTCGTTAACTTGGTGTTTGACAGCCGTTCAAAGCAGACAACCTCGTGAATTTTTACGAAAATGGAAAAAAGTGAATTTCGTGTGCTGATTAAGCATTCGTGGGCAAAACGAACTGCTACCCCATCCAGCATATTCTCCAGATTTAGCACCTGCGACTATTTTCTGTTTCCAAACCTAAAGAAATGGCTGGGCGGTAAGATATTTGAGTGGAATAAAGAAGTCATTACCGAAACAAACGCGTATTTTGGGAGGTTTTAGAAAACCCATTATTTGGAGGGAATAAGAAAATTAGAAAAACGCTGGACTAAATGTATCGAGCTAAGAGGTCATTATGTAGAAAAATAAAATGTTTATTTGCCGAAAAAAAATTTGTTTTATTCAAAAAGTCACCGACTTATCAAAGCGCCCTCGTATATTTGCCAAAGTTTGCTGCTTTTCCCGAAATCCGTCTCCATATTTAAGAGGTAACAAGAGTCTATAGTCACTCAGAGCCATTATATGATTTATATATTTCAAATGTAATTTTAGAGTTTCAATATATAAGATTGATAGTTTCTAGGTGTAGCATATAGTTAAGAGTACTTTAAGCGTAGCGTTTCTACTTCATTAAGTTCGTCTATTTCTATTCTTGAAACTTTACGGAAAATTACTTTCATTTCGTTTTTTAATTCACATAGGCTTTTGACTCGTTCATTGAATTTGAATTGAATTAAGATTGAATTATATGTGACCCAAATCCCTAAATATTTTTATACCTTTACTAAAACTAAAGCTTCACTTTTTAAGTTGCATGTGGCATTCTTCTTCTGCCTCCTGTAATTCTTTTCTAATATCATAAGTTTGGACTTGAAGTATTTGTACTAACTTTTCAATATCATCATAGTTTTCATTGCTATATGTGGGTCAGCCATAAGTACTATATCATCTGCATACACAAGTATCTTGTGTTTTAATAATCTGTGAACAGCGCAAAAAGTAATGGAAACAACACGAAAATTTGTATTACTTTTAATCCATTAAAAACAAGTTAGAAAGGTTGTTTGCATTCCATATCGGTGCCGTTACATTACAATACATTGTTCTAAGTTTTTTTAGCATTTTCGTGGTTACTCCATAATTACTTACCATCTAATTCATTAAAAGTTATAGAAGATTTATAACACTGTTTTTCAAAAATATTATTCATAAATATTATATACCAGTATTATAAAGGATTTTTAAAACTCTATTCATAAATGTTTCCTAAAGTTAAAATAAACTTTATGCTGTTAAAAAATGTCAAAATTAATAATGGTTTTATAGCTTCTATACCGATATTATAAGCAAAATTTTTGATTGTGTAATTAACATTTGGTGTATAGTTATCAAAGGTTTATAAAACGTTTATAAATAGGGTGCAGTAAAATGTGTTTATAAAGTTAAAATACGTTTTAACTAAAGTGCATTTAAAAAGCATTATAAGAAATTTTTATGAATTAGACTGTTAATTTATAAAACACTAATTCTCAGTCAATAAAATACAATACGGCTTTAAAATCTATATAAAATATATATAATTTTCCTATTTTCGACGTATAATTTAACAATATTTGTCATAAAGAAAACACTATCTGCAGACCAATAGCCCGCTTGGTATTCAGTTAATAGTTTTAATATTTGACTAGAATGCCAGAATTAAGTTCCACAGACTTACTAAAGTCCTTACGTACTCGTTTCACAAATACTGAAGTGCTAAGTGAAATTTTTTTTTGACCATAACCGTCACTATGAAGCTTCGCTTCTTATTTTGTTCAACAATTCTGTTGTGTTCTATGCGATCCACAACTCTATCTTTCTTTAATTGTTAGACTTCCATCTGAATTCTGTGCCATTCAAACTACAATTATTTAATTTAAATCATTTATTTTTTCATGTCCTCAATGTCTGCTTTTGATGTCAGCCGTTGCTATTTTTTTTTTTGACATTATTCTTACTGTCTTGGATTATTCCTGAAATGTCTTGCAACGAAACGTCAGGGGATGTTTCTGACAGTTTTCCTTTTGCAAATTGAGATATAGGACGAAAAATAATCAGTGATGTTCTTTCCACTTCGATTTATTTATTTAAATTTTTAAGGAAACTATATAGAAATATATTTTATAATATAATTTTCAATGCTTCTGTTATTCCTGTAGCAGTGGCACTAATCAATAAATTAATTGACGTAAGTATTAACATTGCTATTAGTTTATATAATTTCATACATATATTATTTTTCTTATTTGTTTTTTATGCAAATACTCTCGCGCCTTCTTTACTATTTGGTGATCCACTGACCGCACTTTATAATTCAAAGTAATTTAATTTTACAGGTACACGTTAATTTGAGTTTTGGTTGCAATAATTTATTGTCACTTTTAATATTAACTTCAATTTTTATGAAATATTAACTATATTTAAACAATTTTTGCCCAGACCACCTTACTATACATTTCTATCACAAACGGGTTACCAACACTCTTAACACTTTATAGTTTATATTATATTTTATATGTCTGACAGCTCTACGTCAGACATACTTATGAAACTATGTTCTGATGTGGAAACAGCAGATTGCCTCACAAATTAATAAGCAAACTTTTATCATGGCTGGAGAAACTCAATTTTCTTGATACAGATCTTAGTATAAGTTACAATCAGCAAATAACTTAAAGAACAACCTACAAAGATGATAGTGAGAAGGTGCTAGTAACATTGAAAAAACTTAGAAAAAAATAGAACAGGCAAACGTGTATATCAGAAATATATATGAGCAATGAGGAAAGATTACAGAGTAGTTAAAAACAAAAACATTTTAATTTTATTACAAAAACATTTTAATTGTTACATCGCTTAGAGATAGACTAATAAATGTCTAATATCATTCTTTACGACTTGCTGGCCCAACTCTTAACTATTTAGGCTATCTTAGGACGGAAAGGAAACTGAATATTTCGCTGTTTCTTCATGATCGACTTGTAAGCAAGTCAGAAATAACGCAGATTTTTTTAAATATTGTTTTTAAGGTAGAAGCGAAAAACTAAACGTATATATTAAAAAAAAAAGGATATTTCAATTGCATTTGCAATAAAAACTGTACTTCAATTGCATTTCCAATAAAAATAAAAGATATTCTTGGCGTGGGTAACAAAAGTAGCAGTTTGGGGAAAGTCAGATAGAAATTGTTAATGAATATATATATCGCGAGATATAAATTACGTATTAGGTTTCCTACAATAAAAATTGGTCCTCTAAGCGTCCATCAGGTAAAACGTGGGCAAAGTACTTGTCTAATCCTAAAATAACTTTCACAAATAAAATAAAAATTTTCTACACGGCAGCACGTTCAATTGTACTCTATGATGCTTAAACTTGGGGTTACAAACATTATGATCAGAAAATCATAGAAAAACTCTTTAGATTTTTTATTAAAAAAACTCTATTTCCACCTTAGTGGGTAGAAATAAAAATTAATATGCTTCACTTAGGAACGGGCTTATCACCGCAATGTGTAGACACAGAGTAAACACATTTCGCCTATGTAAGAAAAATTCTTGGTCTCCTCTCTACAAGGCTTCCTCGGATACTATCTAAACTAAAAACCAGTATTTGGAAAATGGACTTTAAATTATTACACAATAATATTATACATTTATACAATCGGAGTGAACACGATGCCTAGGTCGAGATCTCATATATGTATCCACAGCAGCAATTTGACATTATGCATAGTTTTTATTACGAAAACGCTCACCATATCGAGCGTTCTTTTTAATTTAAACGCCAGAAAATTTAATATATCTGAACGTGATTGTTCTTTGTGTTATCGTCCTTAAATTGAAAATATATGTCATATTATTTGAGTTCGTACTTAAATTGAAAATATAAATTGAAAATATATGTCAGATTATTTGAGTACGTCCGATTTTCAGGGGAGATATATGTCTTTTTTTTTGTTAAATTACTTCTGTCCGAAGAAGAAGTTAAAGTTTTGTTAAATGGTAGCAATAATAATAGTCTGTACAAATTCATAAAAAGTGTTTTAAGAATTATTAAAAATCTATATGAAGAATAATAATATTAATAATATGCACCACTTTTTGTATGGCAACCTGACACAACAAATATGTTATTGTCAACTTGGATTTTAAGTAAAATTCTATCATTTTTTAGAAGTTCTATACGAATTTCCAAAATTGAATTAAATTTTTTCTGTAGATTGTCTAAATATAACTTAAAATTTAGTCAATATCAAGTTGTGTAATAAATATTTAGTGTTATTAAAGTTGTTCAATACTTGTAAATTCTTCTACTTCTAGCACACAAACTTTATTCAATTTTACAAAAAATCTTTCAGCTTTTCTTACAGTTAGAAATAATACTACATATAAATAATTCAGTAGAGAACTCTCGTCCCAATATTAAAATTCTACTTAAATACTACCCAATAAGCGTATGTCTTTTACAAAGCCCAGTCTGGTATTAGTATTTCATCTCTCTGATAGCACTAGCAAGCATCTTTTTTAATATTGTGTTCATGTCTCAATGCCCAAGCAATTAATTTCTGTCGAAAATTTATCAAAAATGGAAAATTTTCCCACTTCATTAATCCCTCAAAACTAATAATTCAATAAGTTTCCACGTGGTCAAGTACAACTTTTCCTTAATTCATTCTTGCGCTTTTCAATGATTGTCAAAACTTTTTCTCAGTTACTTAATATTGAGTAAAATTTATCAAGCAATCAATCAATCAATTATGTGTAAATATGTGCATAAATATATTTGACAGAATTAATCATATTACCTATCACTATTGCCTTATGTATCTAAAGCAAATGCGCTGCCAATGCCTATCAATAATTTTATTCATATTTGTTCATAGGTACGCCATTGCCATGGCAGGACTTAAAAATAGCACGTCACTTGCCGCCGGTTTGTCCACAAAAACTACCGGATATCAATCCACAGGGTGGTGTTAAAATGGCTAGTGGCCGGTACAGTTATCTACAACGTTTGCTGCCATATCTAAAGACTGAAAGTGAAGATTGCCTCTACTTGAATGTTTACGTGCCACATAATGGTGAGTTCAGCTTGTGCGTGTATAACACTTATGTGACTGAACGGGCAACACATGCCACAAAATTTAGTTAGCAAATCCATGTAATTAGTTTTGCATATGTTTAGGCGTTTAAGCTGGCAGAATGTAATCAATAGACATGAAATGTAATGTGGCATAAAATTAATTTCAGATGGCCTTAGGCAGACACAAGCATATCCTGTGCTTGTTTATGTGCATGGTGAATCGTTTGAATGGAATAGCGGAAATCCGTATGATGGATCTGTGCTAGCCAGCTATGGGGAAGTAATCGTGGTGACAATTAATTACAGATTGGGCGTAATGGGTGAGTAGGTTAAGCTTTTTCTTTTACAAAATGAAATATTTAACTTTGGTGCAATTTGACGGACTTACAGGCTTTCTAAAGCCGAGCACAAATGAAAATTCGGTGGCAAACTTTGGCTTATTGGATCAAGTTGCCGCTTTGCATTGGATTAAGGAAAATATTGCTGTTTTTGGTGGGGATATGGATAGCGTGACTTTAATGGGACACAGCACAGGTGCTGCTTGTGTAAATTACTTAATGGTTTCACCTGTTGCAGCGGGTAAGTTGACTAATTTACATAAAAACGTGAAGTAATGTTTCTATTTTTGCATTTTAAAATTTCAGGGTTATTTCATCGCGCCATACTTATGTCCGGTTCCGCTATGTCTGATTGGGCAGCCAACAACCATTCGCTACAGTTAACTATGCTAATAGCCAACCATCTTAATTGTCCTTTAAACGATGACAATGAGCAGATGTTATCCTGTTTGCGTGAGCAACGGTAAGTAGTGCAAATAACTGTCGCAAAAGTGTGTGCCGAACACTTTGTAGAAAATTCTATGGAGCAAGTAGTGTGCGCACCCTGTACAAACATTTTCGCCCCATAAAAAACTTTTTTATATTCATCTTCAATGCCTTTGGGATGTATAATTTTTTCCTTTCAGTAATTTCTACACTTTTGTGTATGTTGAAACAGCTTTTGTGGTCAATTTTTTCTACTCGGCAGCATTTGTGGCGCGTTGAGGCATTAATGCCCCAAACTTTGTGTTTGTGCATAAGTGCTGGGCCCCAAAATACTGAATTTGCGTCCATAAACAAAAACAAACATAAGCAGAAATACCCACACTCGTCGCTGTCTAATTTAATTTTGCTTTATTGTAATTATTTGACGGCTTAATAATGTAGCTTTAATTGTTTATTAATGAGGTATGAAATTTTAGCTCTTAATCAAATTTACAATATCGCTGACGTGCTGAAGTCCTTATTAAGTGCTGATAAGTTTTTGTGTAAGTTATTTAATTTATTTGTATATTTGAGAGTACTATATATATGCACGATAGTATACCACAATAAATAAACCAGTAAATTGCCTTAGTTATTAAAGCTGCTTAACTATTTGCAGAGAAGTACCTTTACTGAACATGTTTTCACGTATTATTTCACATGAAATGTAATAACGAGAAATGTTTGCATAAATAGCATAGTTAAACAAATTATTATTTTTCACCATTAAGTAACAAAATACCCAATGCTAAATTTTGTTGTCTTCTTTTCATCCAATTTTTTTGTTTGACAAATTTTAAAGCTAGTTTAAGTGATAAATAACCTACCACTGTGTGTATAAGAATAATATCCAACTAACATAACATCACATATATAATTTAGAAAACTCTGTCTCTGCTATATTAGTCTGCAAAGGTGACTGACAGAAATTTACAATTCAATGGATAGCAACACCATTCTACAAATAGAGAATTGTCTCGCATTGTCTTGATGGAGAATGATCTGATGGCAATTGCTTGTTTTCCGCATTTCACTAAAGACTTCCGGTTGGTTGTAGTTAATGGTTGTATACCATACGGAGTTGACTATTTTACGTTCCTGTAATAGTACTCGCATATGTTAGTTACCACATGACCAGTTTTCCCGAAAAAATATGCGACCATTTCTTTGGAAGTGCTTTGAGCGTACTTCGAACAACTTTTGTTGGATTTGATTCATACTCATACGGATACAGGTATATCAATGATTCGTCACCTGTTACAATTTTACTCGTATACGTATTTTGAACCACCGCCATTGTACTTCTTGAGCATTTCTGTGCACCTATCGATACAAGCATCTGTTTGAGATTTTGTCAAATGATGGGTGATGGGATCCAACCGGAACAAACCTTTCTTGCAATATTTTAAATATGATAGTGGAACGGCGGTACTAATGCCTTGGGTTTCGTCAATTTCTCAGTATGTCATGTGACGAACTTATAGTTTTCTTACGTTTATTTTATTTTATCTGGAAAACTCAATATACATGTCACTGTAAATAACAAATACTTATAAAGAAAACTTAGCTACCTTGAAAAATTAGTAATACATTATATTTGGTAAATCTCGCTAAACACAGAGTAGTGCATAGATATGTGGCTTAATCACAATTAGTCGGCTAATTTAGTCGTCAAAACTGAACCTTTATATATCTTAACCAACAGAGACAACTATGTCATTACTAATTTATTTTGTCTAATACATCTAAATATATATATATACCTAAACAGATCTGTGAGAAGAAAAGATCTATTAGCTTTGTATTTACAAATGTCATTTTCGCTATCTATGGAATAGAAGTGTCCTGTTTCTGTTTTATACAAACACTTAATGTTATTTTTTGCTCTTTATACGTAACATAAATCTCTTTATAGCTCACATTACGTTTAAACTGACACCCACTTATTATAATCAATTGCCCAAAAATTAGTTTTTGGAATATATATTCAGTTGTATTAGCCATATTATTATTTTCTGGAATACGTATTAAAATTTAATATACATAAAATATGATTTATTTTCTTTCTTCTGCACTTTATTTTACACTCAACTCCATCAACCTTATTCATGGTTACACGAAGGAGCTAGGTCTTATAACAGTCTGAATTGGATATATAATTTGCTATACGTATGTCCTGAAATCAAAATTATGATATTAGTTAGCATTATGGCCAATTATAACCGGTACAACATGAAGTTCCTAAGCATATATCGAATTGAATATATGGTAGAACCATAAGTATTTTTCCTAGAAGTCAATAGATAGAAAGTACCAAAATTTTCTCTTGGGTACTACAAAGTAAAATTCCGAAACTTATTTGTGTGAATTGTACATTTTATGTATATTTTATAATTAAATCGACCAAGTTCTTGCATAATTTAATGCTTCCATGTACGAAATTCATTGTATTTCAACATATTTTGGATCAAAAAAGGATACAAGTATAGATGCATACTGTTTTTAAATTTATATTTATACTCCATGTATATGTATATAGGAGTATGTAGTACATATATAATCTATTCATTTACTTGTTTTTTTATACATGTCTATGAATTTTAAATTGTGCGTACTTGTGCATGTGTTGATTTAAATGCAGGATTTAGAAAATTTTAAATAATTTATTGTATACGAAATTGACATTTAATGCCTTTCAATGCATATTTCATTCTATATTTTGTTGATTGAATTTATTTGTTATTAGTGCAATTTCTCATTCAAGGATAACGATACATTTTTGTGCATGTGTGTGCTGTTGCAAAAGCAATAATTTATATATAGTATGAATAGAGACATGAGCAAAATATTTGTAAAACTGATAAATATACATGTATTAAATTTTATTGGATATTTTAATTTTAAAATTGAATTCCAAAACCAAATTTTACAATGTCAAGTTTAATAACACCCTAGCCTATATTATTGCTTTACTTTAAATTGTTTCATATTTTAGGTATAGACACTAAGTTAATACTAAAGGTCAATTTAATGCCTTCTATAGTATAACAAATTGATGTCGATTTTTTCTGTGTTTTTGAGAGTAATAGATATCGAAAGTCTGTATTTTTGACATAAAAAGTAAAAATTTCTTTATGCATAAAAGGTTTCCATCAATAAACTACATTCTATTAACATTGTGATTGGAATTCAATAAATTTGAGTTGAAAGTGATGTCTAAATGCATGAAAATTTATGTATAAATATGCTGATATATGCAATTAGTTCATTCATATAAATCTCATTTTCCATTTATTCACAAGATGCAGCTATTAAGAGTCCTAGGGCTCTAATTCTCTGTGTTATTATTTAATAGTATTTGCACTGTAACTTCGATAATAAGGAACAAAGGATTAAAATCTGTTACTGTTGATTGGTACAAGCAACAAAAGTATTTCATTGAACTAAATAGTTATTTGTTCATACTTTCTTGCATAGGTTTGAATGTATTTCTCATAAATCACATAAGGCACTCATGCCTATTATGCTCAGAAAGCAGTTGCTACCAAGCTTTTGAGCTCCATAACTGCACTTAAATAATGGATTGTGGTCTTCGGACCTGAATTCCACTTTAGCTTTTGATGTTTGCATTTAAAGGATTTAATTTTAATTAGCACAGCAGTAAGGAATACTTTGATGTGAATTATTCTCTAATAAACGTACAAAAGCAAATCCGGTTAAAATGCTCTAACAAGAACACTAAGTACACTTCTGTGCAAATAAACGACAACAAAAATTAATAACAAGAACTAAATGTACTATTAATATTATATTAGGACTTTTTGCTATTTTATTATTTTGTGTGTTAACTAAAAGGCATTAAAGAGACTATTATGAATAATAAACTATAATAGTTTTTGTGTATATGAACTTACAAAATATACGTTTTTACTCTTGTTCATTGCTATCCATTTACATTTTTTTTAAACAGGAAATTTGTTATTTAAATTTTTTTTAATAATTTAGTGATTGTTTTATTGGTGATTTAATTAATTATTTTTCTATTAAAGTTATTCATTATTAATTATTTTTTAATATTCATGGGTTTTTTGTTAAATACTATGTTAACTTTTAAATTATAAATACATAATTTAATCTTGTTTGATTTGGTGTTTGAAAATTATAATTTCAATAATTTATTTGTTAAATAAAAAAAAATAATGTTAAATGTTTTGCAATGAGTAAAGCTTAATTAAATATTTTTTAGTAATACAAGTATTTGTTTTTTTGACAGACTTTAGGTAATTTTTTATGATGGTCATCAATAGCACTGAAGATTGTCTACGAAGAAGATTACTTGGGTACACTTTTTTTTAAATAAATTACCTACAATATGAATTTAAAATTAACGTTTTATTTGTTTTTTAAGTACTAAAAAATAATAAAAAGACACTAATTTCGGCAAAAAAAACAAATAGTTACACATGATTCATATGTTTTTTAATAAAAAATTATATTTACTAAAATGGTATTTATTTTAACTATGTCACATTGAAAGCTCTAGTTTTTTTTTAGTAAATTATTTTTATTTATTGCTAAATTCCTATTATCTGAGCAAATAATAAAAATAAAATCCTTGAAAACCATACACAGATACCATATATCTAATATATATGGTACTGCTGACTGGTGATATTTCACTTCTCTGCATAATCTCTTATGGAAAGACATCAACTTTCCTTAAAAAAATATTTGTGTACTTGTCTATTTATTCTAACATACATTATTAATTTCGGTAGATTTGACGTTGTCCTAAATGATTGTGGAAAAATTTTCATTAGAATATCTATTTCAAATTTCCGATCAGTCAGTAACCACAGACTACTCTCATAATGGTTAAACAAAATGTGGACTTAACAATTTACTCAATATAAATAATAATATTGCGAGAAGAAACGTTAATTTCTGACACGATATCTGAATTGTTATTATGAAGGTCAGCTATAACACAGTAACATG